TAAGCTAAGTTAGTTTAAAGTTCAGGTAGTGAAAGTTAGATTAAGTTGGGGGTCATCCTGTATCTCAGTCTCCACCTCTACCTCCGTTCTTCAGTCTCTGAGCTAAAGTGCCAATAAAACCCCTTTTTATCTATTATTTTTTTACAATTTATGTCTTTTTACATCTCTCTTCTATAAGTCATTTGTTTTATTGCTATGTGTAATTATCTGCAGTATTTATTAAGGAGTTATCGTATGTTTTTGGAACCAATTATAGGAATTACAGTGTATTCTGATGGAAGATTTGAACCAACACACCAATATTTTAACACAGGAAGTTGGTCCTGGAACCAGTTAGATTCATATTTAGAGGTTGTACATACGAAGAATTGTTTTAAACTTCAAATATTAGCAGTTTTATGACCATTTGGAGACCAAACACTGCACTAATGAACAGTGGCTGAGAAACACTGAGGCGGGATGAGCCGGTCTTCTTCTACTTTTCAGCTTTAGCCTTCCATCTCGTTTGATATTGTTTCATCTTTCGTTGTCCGGCTGTTTATTCAGTGTTTGTGAGAATGATGTTTGAATAATCTGACCCCTCCAGAGACCTCTGCTAAGGAGGGTCTGCTGCTGTGGTGCCAGAGGAAGACCGCCCCCTACAGGAACGTCAACGTACAGAACTTCCACATCAGGTGGGTCCCGTCTGAACCCAGTTCATCCTCATTAACCCAAAGAAAAGAAAAGAAGAAAGACATATGGTCAAATTTACAAAGAATGACTTTATTAAATCGTGTTTTAAGTCTGCAACAGAAAAGATTTTAAGTGCATCAATGCCTGAAATTCAAAATAAATAAATCCTTGTTTGACCAACTAATTGCACCATTGCAAAATTAAATCAAATCAATAAATATTTAATAATTAAATATATATTTAATATATATATTTAATAATAATATTTAATATATATATTTATAATTAAAATATTTTATATTAAATGTCTAATAATTTAATAATGAAAATTATTGATCATTAAATATTGAATAATTATAATAACTACCGGTAATAATTATAACTAATAAACTTTTGTCTGATTATCTCTGTCTCTCTCTGTTTTCAGCTGGAAGGACGGCCTGGCCCTGTGCGCCCTCATCCACAGACACAGGCCCGACCTCATCGACTACTCCAAACTGAGAAAGGTAAAGGTGCCCCCCCCCACCTCCTGATTTATCAATCAATCAATCAATCAATCAATCAATCAATCAATCAATCAGGTTTATTTGTATAGCCCTTTACAATAGCCAAAAGGTACCCAAAGGGCTTTAGAACAAAGCCATGAAACAATACATAACACATACAAAAACATACAGATACAATTAAAAGTGCTGTAGTACAGACATTAAAAGCCTTCCAGAATTGCACAGAAAGGAGCAAAAAGAAGGAGGACACCTAAGAGACGGTATTTAAAAAGGACATCTTTAAAAGGACCTCTAACAGAAGCTGACCCCACTTTTTGAGTCTTGACCTAGGGACCTCTAATTTGATAT